CAGAAACAAAGAGTATATGCTTTTATAAATTTGACAGTTATTTTAAATTTCTCTCTTTAGGACTTGAATACTAAAATTTGAGAGCTCCTGCTTTCTGGCACAGTCCTAGGCATCAGAGAGCAGGAAAACTCTTAAAAATTATGAATGTAAGTGAGAAAATCTAGCTGAAAGTTCCGGATGCTTAGCCTACTGCCTTACCTGAAGTCTACTTTTCTTTCATTCAATCTAAGAGACTGCATATATTGCAAAGAAAGAGTAATTGATTCTAAGGTTGGATTTCCAAAGGCAGTGAAGACAGTTGGCATTTAGTTCATGAACTGTTTTATCCATTCCTGCAGGGTCAATTGTTGGGAGGCAAATTCTTTCTCCCTTTGTCACCAACCCCACTTCTATGAAGTCTACACAATGACTTAGCCAGTGATCAAGTCTTTGGGAATATCTGAAGTGTTCAACAGCAAACACAAGCAACAAAAGAAATCCCACAGTCACAAAGGTATGAATAAAGGAGGCTTATAACAAAGAAATGACACAGCTACAGTGTGTACCAATAGCGGCTGTCCAAGCTCCCTGTACCCCAGGTAATACCAGGGACACTCTGACAACCACACCAAGGGAACCCCTGAGTGCAGGGCTGTGTGCAGCCACCGCCATGAAGTCATGTTGGGAGAAACCCTTCCATTCTCCAGATATTTTGCCACTTCCCCTGCCATACACTCTATGTATGGCATGTACAGTCCATGATTAAATTGTAAATGCTTTCTAAAAGTATTAACACTTTAAATACCTAAATGTGATCATTCATAATTGTGCCTGAAGTAGACCCTGTATCTCTAGTTTTCCTAGATTACATGGGAAGATAGGTATACTCAAATCTTTGAGCTATTCAAGCCATAAAAGGCCAAATTGACATTTAAGGCTGGTCCATGTTAATTGCTCAGAGCTCCACCGAAAGCCCAAGTGATTTTTCCTATTAGAAAATCTGGATCCCCTCTTTGTAAGCATGCTGCCTACTGTGTCAGAAAAGAAAGCTTTATAATGCAGACTGTCATGTAGCGAATTTAATATTCTCTTAGAAGTATATATTATTAGAGATCGAAGACACCCCAGAGAATGCCCAGATACACCCCCTCATTTCACAAATGAGGAAGTTAAAGGAAAGTGTCATGATTTGTAGCTCCACAAAGTCATCAGAGTTTGGGAAAATGAAAACTAAGTGGCTTAGAGAGGATGTGGATAAAGTGAGCAGAGATTCATCAGTCCCTTCAGCCAGAAGGAAGGCAAATCCACGCAGGACAATGTTGTAGCACACCAGGCAGAAACCCTTCCTGTTCCTGGGGTCGGCACTGATAAGCAATGGCTTCTAATATAAGAGAGACAGGATAACATCTTGTGAAGAAAATGACACCAAAGTAGAAACTTCTGTCACTTGAATATGGACTGAATCATGATGAATATTTTTAAAAAATGAATTTCTAAAAGCACATCACTCTTCCCAGAGCTGAAGTCATTTCCTGAAGGGTGGCTGGTGTCTCAGAGAGCTGGATTTCCAGCATTAATAGGCGAGGTCCCATTCATCAGAAGGAGGAGAACAAATCTCTCTAAAGATCTTTCACCTCTTTTTGTGTCCCCCTTGCCTTCTAATGGCTGTCCAAAATTCCCCAACCATCTAAATTCAAAACCTGACTATCATCTCTGGATCCTTCGACTCAGATCACTCCCAGCCAACTAGTGCCCAAGGTCTATAAAAGTCCCTCCCAAATGTCTCAGCTTTAAGAGTCTACCTCCCAAGGGTTACATTCAGCAAACAGCACTGGTCCAAGTGCCCAAGTGCCTTGCTGTAGCCTCAACTTCTCCTCCAGGACCCTGCATTTCTCCTGACTCAGAAACAGAAGGGTCATGTCCCCAGAGCAGGAGCCTCCAGGACTGGATAGTGGAGACCATTCTGATGGACTGGTGCCCATACCATGCCCCAGTTGCTATCATTTTAACCCTCTCCTCCCTCTTGAATCTGCCTAGCCACACGTCACCATCCTAGAGCAGATATGCTCCTTGTTTTGCTTAAGCTCTTGCAAATAACCCCTAACAAGCTTTTACTTTCATTTCTCACATTTTTTTCTAGATTATGCTCTCTTATATACACCTCTGAGCATGTTGCTATAATGTCCACAATCTATTAGTGGTCCCATTTCCTGAGACAAAATCCAATTTTTCTCTGGTCTGGATGTTGACTCCCCACTTCCCAAGCTCATCTCCCACTGTACTATCCCTTTGCCCTGCACTCAGGGATTCCTGCCATTCACCCCTTGCTCCTAATTATTCCCTGACACTTCCTTGGCCCAGCATTTCTCAACCTGGGCCACCCTGAGAATCACCTGTGAACCTTTTAAAACTCTTGGTGCCTAGGTGCTGCCCCTGAACAGCTGAGTCAGAATCTCTAGGAGGCAGCAACCAGGCATCCCTATTTCAAAGCTCCCCACATGATTGTAATGAGCAGAGTTGAGGGCCACTTCACCTGAAATGTCCTCTTGTCTCTCAGTTGGCCTGAATCCAACCCATTCCTCAAAGCCCAGCTCCAATGTTCTTTGTCCTTGCAGCCCTCCCTCTTTCCCATGCTCACACAGCGCTTGCTACATAGGTCCTGTCTTTTATCCTGTCCTGCTTTGAATTATATTTATGTCTGTAAATGCTGATCTCTCCCACTAGATCAGGGATTGGCAAACATTTTCTATAAAGGGCCAGACAGTAAATATTTGAGGCATTGCAGGACATACGGTCTCTGCCTCACAACTTGACTCTGCTGTTGTAGCATGAAAGCCCCCATAGAAAATATGTAAGTGAACAATTGTGGCTGTGTTATAATAAATCTGTATTTTCTTTTTTTAAAAAAGTGGTAGGCTATATTTCGCCTGAAAGCCATTGTTTGCTATCCCCTGCATGACACTAATAAAGCTTCTTAGGGCCAGGGACCTTTTCTTATTTAAAAACCAACCTTCCTTCCTTCCTTCCTTCCTTCCTTCCTTCCTTCCTTCCTTCCTTCCTTCCTTCCTTCCTTCCTTCCTTCCTTCTTTCATTCTTTCCTTTTGTCTATTACAGTCCCTGAACGAAGGGGAGAAAACCACAATATTCCCTTTGTGGACCTCTATGTGGTCAGTTTCTCACAATCACAGCCTAGAGCATGGGTAGCCAAAGTGATGCAGGAAGAGTCAGGGTTCATCAATTCTGCCTTTTAGGCAAATATTAATATTTCCCTTGCTTATCATGCCCAATAGAACTATCGAACAAACAACCATCATTTGTGCATGGATGCACAGATTAGCAGCACCAACATTATTTGACATACATCACCATTATTAAAAAATCATGCCCACTCCGGACAAGAGGGAAAGGAACCATGGCCTCTCTAGCCTGTAACCAAACACAGGCAAACCTTCCGGGAGCTCCTCAATGTATATCACTGTGAGCAGCCAAACTTGCCACAGGGGCTAATTTTAATTAGGAAATATGTTGCAAAAAGCCATGAAAAGACAAAATAAACTTTCCCACCAACAGTCCTCAAGTATTTCATATTTAAAATAAAACTACTTCCACACTGTGTCACTTACCCCAGCCTGAGACAGACCTTGTGTCTCTTCATTCACTTTTCTTTTTCTTACTCGAAATTATATCTCAGGTGATAAGAAAAAGACACGGCACAAACTACTAGTTTGGAATACATAGCCAGAGCAATAAGAATACAAAAATAAATGAGAGACATGAATATGGAAAAGAAAGAGACAATACTCAGTGACCTCGTGATCGTCTACACATGCGATGTCAAATCACCTGAAAAGATCAGGGGCACAAAATCATATGGCTCTGCTCTTCCCTGCAGATCAATCTATTAATATTAGAATGAAAGTTCTGTCAGAGGCCAAGTCTGGCTGGTGAGGAGAAGGAACAGAACAGCTGGCTTTGTCTCTGATAGCCTGACACCTGCCTCGGGTCTCTGACTTGAGCTATAACTTCCTCCTTGACCGTCACTCCCGAGGCAAGGAACCATTGTCTGGGAGGTTTGCAGTAGGGAAACTGCTCAGGAGATTAAAGGCATGTGGCATTTGCCAGGAAGCCCTGGATGAAAGAGACGGGAAGCAAGATATGGTGCCCCATGGAGTAGGTCTTAGGGGACCAATATCTCCGAATACTCTAATATATATCAAGGTGCTGACCCTGAAGGAAGAATGAGGGAAGGACGGCGCCAGAACAGTGGGGTCCCACAGAGTCCTGCCCTGGCTGACAGCCCTTGGAGATCTGGAACAGTCATGGCTGGGTTTGGCTTATCCTAAATCCAACTCTGTGGTCCCAAGAAAGTGAGGACCTTGATTTGAGGGAAACAGCTCAGGGGGTCTGCTCAGGTAGAGTCCCAGGACTAGCCAGGTATCAAGGTGAAGAAGTTCAGGCAGGAACGAGAGAACCAACCACAGGAGAACGGAGGGAGCACCACAGAGGCCCAAGCTCCCCGTCCTATGATCTGGGAGCCCCCGGCAGAGTTGTCAGGTGGAGGTGCCCCTCATTTCCGCCTGGAGGGTCTGACGGAGAGGAGCCGCTTGGTCTAGAGGGGTGGTCCACGTTCCGTAGAACCTGGAGACCCAAGAACCAACGGGAGTCACGGTGAGGACTCCAGTGACATGAGGGAACCGCCAGCAGCAGAAAGGGTCACCCATTGTGAGGGCTCTGTTCTTATTCCAGTGAGGCCAAGCAGAACTCCCAGCTCAGGATCCCCTTATCTCTGCCCGGAAGGTGTACTGAGGGGAGCTGGGTGAGTCCGTCTAAAGGGAACAGCCGGGGTTCTGGGGACAGAGGCTGGGGCCCCACCTGGAGCTCACGTAAGGACCCATAGGAGACTCTCTTCCCAGAAGACTGGGGATCAGAGCCCCGCCCCTGCAGCCCTGCTGTCAGCTCCCTCTCCCTCCAATCCCCGCCCCCGCCCCCCAGTCCCCGCCCCCTGCCCCCCACATTGGCCGGAAGTGGCGTACCCTGACTTCCGCCTTGGAAGTTTCTGGAAGGCCAGGAGCTTGGTGGTGGAGCTGGGTCGGAGGAGCGTGGGAGCTCGGGCTGCTAGAATTCAGGACTGACCAGGTGTCCAGGTAAGAACCCTGAATGTGGACTGAGGGACAACTTGCAGATAACCAAGGGGGTCGCCCCGCACCCGGCGCTCCCTTCCCCGACCCCAGCCCAGGGCGGGCCACGGAGCTGTGATGCTGACTTCTCCCCGCGGGTTCCGGGCTCCGGGGAGCGGGGCTGGGAATAAAAGTGTGGCTGCAGTTCTTCAGAGGGAGAGGGAGGGAGACCTAGGCCCCAGTAGAAGTGAGGAAGCCCGAATGCTAACAAGGGGACCCCCCAGAAGAGGGGCCACCAGAGCCGGGCCTGCTGTGAGAACCGGGGAGCCCTGGGCGCGGGTAGCGACTGGTGGGGCTCCTGCCTCCAGCTGCGGAGCCCTGACTCCCTGTAGCAGCTTGCAGAATGAGGGCATTGGTCTGGGCGGAGTGCCTAGGTCAGTTAAGTGCGCGGTTGAAAGTCCTGCCATAAGTCGAATTCAGAACCCTGGTGGGGAACAGTGGGGTGCCATAGAGTCCCCCCTCTTCCGTTATGCCGTTTAGACGCTAAACGGCCTTGACGGGATGTGGCTTACCCTAAACTTCCAATATCTTTTCTTTTCATTAAATAAACTTATTTTAACATAATTTAACTCTAAATAAAACTGTTGAATTTGCAGTGAGTTATAACTACAATTCATGTTTTAATTGAAATGTCAAGGTTTAACAACTGACATTGTTACAAAACAATAAACTGTTGTTCAGTTTTAAATGGTCAGTTGTATTAGAGCTCAACGGTTAACTGTGAACTATATCTCTGGGAAACCTCAAATCAATAATGATAAGTCTGTTTCCAAAACCCACTGCAGTCATTGTTGAAACCCTGATCAAAATTTAATAGGATGCACAATGACACGTTAAAAAAAAACCAGACCCCGATAGTCATTAATATTTGATTGGCTAATGAGACAATTAAAACTTACTCAGTGCTAACATAAGACTACTGATAAAAACAAAAAATGAAAAAACAAATGACCCAACAGCAACAAACAACAAAGCACTCTAAGATTCAAAAAGTATGATTTATCTACTGAAGCAGAAATATTTGTTAGGGAATTGGTTGAGCTTTGAACCTCTGACATCTCAGAATGATTCATAATTAATAACAGTTTATGACAACTAAGATTGTGTATTAGAAATATCTATGAAGATTCCACAGTTTTACATTACAGATTGCTATGCAGGTGTGAAAAACAGGCTAAATAATGTGAATGATATGGCAAAATATAAGATGGAAAAGACGATCTAAAATGGGTTGTAATTAGAACGGTTTGTATCAGACAGTAAGGTGGGCTTTTACTATAAAGATGTTAATAATAACTGATTCGGCTACCTGTTCAATGTTTCCGCATAGTCCTACATATTGAGGGACAAGGCATCAAAGACATCCCCAAACTGCAAATCCTCCTGTGCTTTTGCTATTGGTATCCATCTGATGTGAATATAACTCAGCTTGAATGAATGTGTTTGTCGAGATGGTAATAAAAAGCTTAAGATTAGGAAGATTGTATTTGTTGGCACATGAAATATTGGTGGCTACAGAGGAAAGTTTGTGAACGTGAATCGCGATTTATTTTATGCCCTGATCAGACTAGCAACTAGTTAAGTGAAAGTTTTATTAACATGCCTTTTTTTTTTTTGAAACAGAGTTTCACTCTGTTGGCTTGAGTCCAGTGCCCTGGCATCAGGCTAGCTCACAACAATCTCAAACTCCTGGGCTCAAGCAATCCTCCTGCCTCAGCCTCCAAAGTGACGGGGACTACAGGCAAGAGCCACCAAGCAAGGCTAATTGTTTTTTCTAGTTTTTGGTAGAGATGGGGTCTCGCTCTTATTCAGGCTAGTTGGGAACTCCTGAGCTCAATCAATTCTCCCACCTTGACCTCACAAGTGCTAGGATTACAGGCATGGGCCACTGTGCTTGGCCAGAGGGTGAAGATCCTGATTTAGGAAATGGGGGCCACTCAGCCCCCAGTGGAGAGGGCTGCAACAAGCCTCACTCCAGGGAGGCCAGGTCAGAGCTGACAGGCTCAGGTGCCCGCTGACTTCAGCCTGCAGGGTTTCAATAGATAAGGGCTCTGGTTTAAGGACTGTTTGCCCCAGGTCAGCAGACAGGGGTGTCACAGGCTCTGTTGGGAGTGAAAGTAAAAATCCTGCATGAGGAAAACAACCACTCCAGAACAGAGGAGGCTGCACAAAGTCTCACCTCTGCTGTTAGCCCTGGGAAGCCGTGGGCAGAGCTGAGGTGGCCTCTCATTTCCTGACAGGACAGTGGTGTCTCAGACAATTGGATCCCTTGCACTAATGGGTGAAGCCCCATTGGTCAGAGGGAAGAGGCTTATTTCCTAATAGGGGTCAAGGTGAGACACTGAATGAGATGTGTGTGGTCCACATAGAGCCCACTCCTACTGTCCCATGTGGGAGACCCGGGCACTTTGACATGACGAGTAGTACTCATTTCCTCCCAGGGCATCTCAGGGAGATGATGACGCAGCCTAAAGTCCGCTGGTGGAGGTTTCTAAGCTCTTGCCAGGAGCCACAGTTAGGATTCTGAGAACTGAGGGGATCCTCATGCACCCCATAACTGAACCGTGGGGCCAACACAGAATGTCTGCACCCTGCACCAATCCAGGGGAGGCCATGAAGAGGGATGGCTGGAGGTGACTTAGGCTTCCTTTTGCTTTGGGGTTGGGGGGTCTCAAGAAGGTGAGGACCCTGACCTGATGGGAGGGGCCTCAGTTGAGCAGAGGGTGATTTACAGGCTGGGCCAGAAGTCACAGGTCCCTGAGAAGAGTGTGGGTACCACCGTGCTGGTTGTGGCGGACTGGTGTTAGCGCTGGATTTGAGTCCTGTTGTCGCTAGAAGCCAGACTGCCCCGACTTGTACTGGCCTGAGGCAGATCTGGTGTGTTATAATTCAAATTTCTTTCGAATTACTCCAAGAGGTATCTTCAGGCAATAAGAAGGGACTCTCGCTGCACAAACTACTGCTTCTTTGGATGCATGCCAGGTAATGAGAATACAAAATAAGTGAACATACGATATGGGAGAAAGAAAGAGGACAATACTTGGTGCCAACATGATGGTTTACATTATGCGCGATGGATCAGCCTCACCTGAAGAATCAGGGGCACAAATCATATGGTCTCTCTTCCTGTAGATCAATCTAGTGATATTAGAATGAAAATTCTATCAGAGCCACGTCTGGCAGGAGAGGGGAGAAGGAACACAGAAACTGCCTGCCTTTGTCTTTTACACAACACCTTGCCCCCGCGTCCTCTGCCTTGGTTATAACTGCCTCCTCGCCCTTCACTCCTGAGGCCAAGCGACATTGTCTGGAGGTTTGCAGTAGGGAAACTGCTTCAAGACGATGGCAGGCAACGTGGCATTTGGCAGGGCATCGTGGATTTTGCCAGAGCCAATGAATGAAAAGAGACAGGAAGCAGGCTGTGGAGGCCCCATGAAAAAAGGCTTAGGGCCATATCCTAAAAATAAAGGGGGTCCCATGAGACTTTAGCGGTGGGTGCTGTCAGACTTAGATGGTAGAGAGAGGCCAGGTTTTAACTGGGCAGCCCACAATTATCCGGCTCAGGGGTCCCGATGAACAGGCAGGAGACTTTGATGTAAGGAGGGCAAATTCAAGTGAGCAGAGGACAGGGCTGTTAGCCTTCTCGCAGTATATAAGCGTGCTGAACCCTGAAGGAGATGACGGAAGACGGCGGCAGAGAACAGATGGGAGTCCCACAGAGTCCTGCCCCCTGGCTGACAGCGCACTTGGAGATCTGGTAACAGTCATGGCTGGGTTTGGACTTCATCCTATAATCCAACTCTGCTGGTCCCAAGAAAGTGAGGGACCATTGATGTTGGGGAAACAGCTCAGGGGGTCTTGCTCAGGTAAGAGTCCCAGGACTAGCCATGTTATCAAGGTGAAGAAGTTCAGGCAGGAACGAGAGAACAGACCACAGGAGAACGGAGGGAGCACCACAGGAGGCCAAGCTCCCCGTCCTAGACTACTGGGAGTCCCCGCGATGCTTGTCAGGGTTGGAGGTGCCCCTCACTTTCCGCGTGGGAGGGGTCCTGACGCGAGAGAGAGCCGCTTGGTGCTAGAGGGGTGGTCCACGTTCCGTAAGAACCTGGAGACCGGAACGACCGAACGGGAGTCACGGTGAGACTCCAGTGACATGCTGGGGAACCGCAGCAGCAGAAAGGGTCACCATTGTGAGGGGCGTCTGTTCTTATTCCAGTGAGGGCCAAGCAAGAACTCCCAGCTCAAGGATCTGCCTTAGTCTGCTGGCCGGAAGGTGTACTGAGGGGGGAGCTGGGGTGAGTCCGACTCTAAAGGGAAACAGGCCGGGGTTCTGGGGGACAAGGCTGGCCACCTGGCAGCATCACGTAGGGAGGACCCATAGGAAGACTCTGCTTCCCAGAAGACTGGGATCAGAGCCCCACGCCGGCTGCAGCCCTGCTGTCGCTCCCTTCCTCCAAACCACTTCCCGCCCCAGTCCCGCCCCTGCCCCCAACATTTGGCGGAAGTGCGCTACCCTGATTCCGCCTTTGGAAGGTTTCTGGAATGGTCCAGGCAGTCTTTGGTGTGTGGAGCTGGCGAGAGGAGCGCGTGGGACTCGGTGCTGCTGAATTCAGGCTGACCAGGTGTCCAAGGTAAGAACCGCTGAAGTGTGGACTGAGGCGACAACTTGCAGTAACAAGGGGGTCGCCCCGCCAACCCGGCGCTCCTTCCACGACCCCAGCCAGGGCGGCCACGGGCTGTGATGCTGACTTCTCCCCGCGGGTTCCGGGCTCCGGGGGCCGGGCTGGAATAAAAGTGGTTGGCTGCCAGTTCGTTCAAGAGGGGAAGGAGGGAGACTAGGCCCAGTAGAAGTGGGGAGGCAAGCCCGGAATTGCTAACAAGGGACCCCCAGAAGAGGGGCCACCAGAGACGGGCCTGCTGTGAGGAACCGGGAGCCTGGGGCCGCGGGAGGTGTAGCGATGGTGGGG